CGAACGCTGTAGTGGAGAGTTTTTGAACTGTTATTACAGATGGACACTTTTTCGACTATTCTCGTATGGGAGTTGGTACTTCTTACTTCTACACTCCATAAATTTAAGCTTACTACGAGTGCTTAAGGGGAATATTAGTAATGTTTATAGCATTGTTAATATTCTAAAATTTTATTAAAAAGTTAAAATAAATTTTAAGATTAAAATCGAGGCATGTAAAAACTATTATTTTGATAACTAAGTTCCATTATTATGATATTTATTTTATAATAAAAACTTAACCTTTCACTTTTTTTTGGTTTCAGAGAAAATCCAAACGACTGGGCACCAAATAAAATACAAGAATTTATAGTTCTCATTTTATCAATAACGAAACATCGGAACATATAATACATCAGTCTTATTTTCCCTCGATTTTCCTGGAAGCGAAAATATACAATCCTTGGAATGTCTCCAGCGAGTCAAATATCGTGAATTATTAAAAGTTCTCAGTATTAATAAATCTCTTGTGAGTAAGGAAACTACTAACTTAATGACCACCACCAATACAATGAATGCAGTAATGGAGCAATATTTTTTTTTTTTTTTTTTTATAGAATAGGGTGACAAACGAGCACACAGTCCACCTGATGGTAAGTGGTTGCTGCGGCCCATAGACATCTACATCTATCTTCCATTACAAATCAAAATGCAGATGCGTTGTCACCCGCGAGGACTGAGATGGAATGCCTCATTTCCAGTAACAAGGGTCTCCGGTTCTCTACACTCACCATACGAAACACAGCAGCATTAATCTACTATTTCACGCTGGTATTCTGTGAGAGCGTGGTCCTTCCCCGGTCGAGCCGACCCATTCGTGCTACTAACTTAATGACCACCACCAATACAATGACTGCAGTAATGGACCACAATATTATAATATTTTTTCTTTTTCATCATTCTAGCCGCGTATAATGATCCGTATTTTATTTTTTTTTCCCCGTTTTTTTACAAATATTTTATATTTTTTGTTATGAATGTTTTTATCCCACTATCTTCGACAAAAGAACACAAGAGAGCGCATATTTCGGCAATAGGAGGCGTTAGGAGGAAGCAGCACGCCTGTATATTTCGCGCACGGTCCCCGTACAAGTTACTAGCTCGTGTGTATTATATAAAATTGATTTTAATATTTCCTTTTATAACCGCCCTTTGTTCAAAAAACAAAATTACACCAATTTTTGGATGTTAATCATGATTTAACATTTCGAGATTTATTTTGGAAAAAAATTACATTCAATTTCAATACAATTACAATATAATTTTGGTACAAAATATACAATATGTTTTTATTTTTTACTTTAAACTGAGATATGTATCGATAAATATTCCTATAAATACAGGTTGTCTCAGAAGTCCACGTCAAGGCAAAAGTGGGTGATAGGTCAAGTCATAATAGTCAACAGAAAAATATAAAAAAAAACCTTTTCCATAAAATTAAAAATTACAGTCATTATAAAAAAAACACTAGAAAGTCTACATCTTGTGACTGTCTTTTCACGCCTGTTGCTACAAATTTTAATTTATTTAATTTTTTTTTTACTACTTAATATTGAATAATGTTTCTGGAAACTGTTGCTTAAAATTTAGAGACAACTGCACCAGTCCAGAAGGAAATGTAATTTTTTTTCTCAATAAAGTATTCAAAATTAATACTTTGCTCAGTTTTAAATTACTGTAGTGAAAAAAAATGTACTGCACGAATTTGGCAAGTAACTTTTAAAATTGGCAAATTTAATATGAATTCCTAATTGATATAACACTAGCAAATTTAATTGTATATAAAGTATGGATTTTTTTTTAAAACTCAGTTGTAAATTAATTTTCCTGACCCATCTAAAAATTTATGTGTACTCTTTTACTTAGACTCTAGTTTGAGTGAAACTGAAGGAACCAGTTGACGAAGTGTGAGCGAGACAGGTGGTGACGCTAACGTGTCAAAGACGGAGAGAGTAATTTTACATAGTTTGAGCAAGACAAGATAGTGACGCTAATTTTTCGCTGTCGAATGGCGGCTGTACACTCTCGACGAGAGCACTCGCCATGCCTCTCGCGAGCCTCTCGCACGAGAAAGAGCTTTCACGAGTGTAACCTTGTACATTCTCGTTTATTCGGTTACGGTGTGGAACGGCGAGGAGATGGACGCATCATTTCGGACGGATGGTTTTATGTCTTTGTGGTAACGATGCTGGGCCCCAAAACACGATAAACAAAAAATTAGTTTGCTCTCCCCAAAGCAAAACTGCGAAAACCGGTAACTACAACAACAGACGCACTTGTGTCCACTCGCGAGGGAAGGCGAGGCCCTTTGACTCGCGCACCGAAAATGGACACGAGCGCAAGAGCACGCTGGGCGAGACAAGGGAAGGCAAGGCTCAGCGAAAGTATCCTGTACACTCTCGTCCTCGCCTTGCCTCGGTGGCTCTCGTCGAGATTTTACAGCCACCAGAACACACAATTAAGTTCAGTACGTTATGCTCCTTCGTTTCACTGCGCACCCTTCTGTATTCGTTCGTATTGATTTCGTACACGATTTTTCAATAACATTTCACTAGTTATTTATTATTATTTAGATATATCTCAATTTATCGTGGTTGTTCTCTCCGCAGGAGTATCTCGTTGGTATACGCATAACATAACTTATGTCAGTTGTAGCAATATAAATCTGCAGGTTACTTAAACGCTTTTACGCGTTAGGTTATTTATAGTAAGGAACTTACATCATATATTTATTATTGCCCTTACACTTTCACCTTACCAAATTAAGACGGACATTTTTTGTGAAATATATTCGGCTATATTGGGATATAGTTAAAGTTAGTCATGGTAATAGTTATGTTTTATCTTTCTTAAATATTTAATAGGTGGTACAGCCACGCTGGAGCTATAGTGTAGTTGCAACACAAATTAATCTGCTCGACCAGGAAAGGACTTTGCCCTCACAGAATGCAAGCGTAAAGTAGCCACTTGATGCGAAATATCTCCTATTTGGTTAAGAATTCCAAATTCAAATTTATAAATTAATTTAGCAGGTACATTTGAGTATTGAAAACAGTCACTCGTTTGTTTTTTCTTATTATTATTTTTTCTTTGGCGTCGCTTATTACCGCACAATGGAAAACATCAAATATCGGTATATTTACGAGTAAGACTTCTAACGTGGCAACAGTGCTGCAGAAACAGCTCGAAGGATTAATGATGTGTACGGCGCTGGTGTCGCAGAAAAAAGCACGATACGTTTTTGGTTTCGACGTTTTCGTTCTGGAAATTTCGACCTTCAGAACCAACCCCGTGGACGGCCGGAGACCACCGGAGGCTACTTTGGAAGCATATCCATCACAAAGCTCTTCAGAGATAGCTGCAGGCTTCGGGGTAAGTGATAAAACTGTATTAATCCACTTGAAGCAAATCGGGAAAGTAAAAAAAACTTGAACGATGGGTACCTCATGAATTGAGTGAATGGAATTTGCAAATACGCGTCGACTGCTGTGTTACTTTGCTCATCCGACACAAAAATGAAGGGATTTTAAATCGAAACATTACTTGTGATGAAAAGTGGATACTGTTCGATAATCAGAAGCCCTCGATAATTTTAGAATTAAATTTTATTTATGATTAATAACTACGTAATCCATTTGTGAACTAATTTTGTTGTTTTAAGGATTGTTAATTTGTTACTACTTCCGGTTTCTAATGTACGATAAGTATATTGTGATAACATATAAATAACATAACATAAACACTCACGCCTGCCACCCAGAGGGGTAGGCAGAGACTACACACTTCCATTTGGCACGACCCTGACACACCTCTCTCGCCTCCTTCACATCCATACACCTACGCATACATGCTCGTCGGTTAAGGGTACTTCTAATTTGGCCCGTTTTCAATAAATCGCCAATTTGGTAGATAAATTTTCGCCTAGGACGCCCCTTTTCGACTCTGCCATTCACTTCTGCAACATAAATTTTCTTTGTCACTCTTTCCTCATTTATTCCTTCCACATGACCAAACCACCGAAGCATTCCTTTCTTAATCCTGGTCACAACATCATCTTGCAAACCACACTCTTCTCTTATTACACAATTTCTTACCCTGTCGTTCAGATTCAGCCCTAACATACTCCTTAAGGACGGCATTTCTACTGCTTTTATTCTACTCTCGTGCTTCTTCTGCCACACCCAACTTTGACTACCATACGTTAAAGTAGGGACCAACACAGCATTGTGAATTGCCATACGTGCCTTTTTTGACACATTTTGACTCTTCACAATAGAGCGCAGGGCCCCATTTACTCTATTTACTATATTGTAATAAATATACTTAATAGCCTGAAAAAGTTTATTTGTATCTTAGAAATTTCTTTCATATTTTTGAATGAGTTTAAGTAAGGATTTTAGTTCCATTATCTTATTACTTATGTGTTAAACCGTTTTGGACCACGTGTTTTCTGAAATATGTTTATACTGCAAATTAATTGTTGAAAGCTATGAAAATGGTTTTTAAAATGATTTTTATTATTTTATTTGATAGTTAATAATTTTTATAATTTAATTGTTAATATTTAGATGTGTTGAGAAGCGTTCAATAAAAAAATAAAAGCGACATTTGGCGGTAATCTTATAAATACTCCGATTTCAAAGAAATTCGAGACAGTACTTGGTTATTCTCCGTATTGGCAAGTTAAGTATATTTCTACTATGCCTTATTTCATAGTACTTCTGCTTATTTTTGCTTATTGTATCTTTTGTTGAAATATTGTTTAAATATGTGTGAAGATATTATACTTTATATATATTATTTTAAATTGGCTAAATTCTTTTCATAATTTGTCCCTTTAAAAAACAAGAGGAAGATTTTAACAGTTCCTTTTAGCTAAATAGGTGAATTTAAGTTTATTTCTTAACCGATCTTTTTCCTAGCTGATTTCTTCGTTTAATTTCTCATGAAATTATCATCAGAAGTGGGATCGCCCGTGCTTTTTATTAATCGTTATTTTAAATATTTCAGCGCAAACTATTTCAATATGGATGTGGAGCTGGTGAAAGGGCTGTTGGAGACCATCCAAAATGTAATGGTTTCAAATATGCGGCACGACGATTCAGCGGTGCCAATTTTCGACCTGGACAAAAACAACGACGGAGCAGCTGCCTAGTGCGAAAGCTTCGATAAGTTGGGAGACGAGTTAAAATGGAGCAGCTTTGAGAAGGTTGCAAAAGCCGGTAAGGCCCTTCGGGGCTCTGCATTATCTTGGTTTGACACGTGGGAGCCTGAGACAGGTAGATTATGGGAAGAATTTAAAAAAAAAGATATTATGTCGTGTAACCGCAAAGGAAAAATCTTAGTGAGAACCTGTTAACTGTTAAATTATGTCTGTGTACCCACAAAAAAAAAATCTTAGTGAAAAACTGTTAAACGCTGTGTTATATATGTCAGATTCCGCAGATTCTTTCGATGGTTATGCTAGGGAGAAATTAAGACTATTAAAATTTATTAAAATACATAAAAAATGTCAATTCCAAATATTCTAGTTGGTAATTTTGCATTTCGTTTTTTTTTTATTTGACTGAAATATTTTAAGCTATAAGTAAAAGACAAAACATTCATACATAATTATAATTACTATTTAGTAAAAGTAAAGTAAAGTTACAGCCTATATACGTCCCTCTGCAGGGCACAGGCCTCCACTCATTTCTGAGAGGGTTTTAGGGCAAGGAATTGTCCGCCGCGCTGCCCCAATGCGTGTTGGCAAATAAAAAATAATCGGAGATAACTATTTATTTGTATTCGGGTGTTATCAGATAGGTGCTGCTGCCATCTCCTGTTTTAGTTTCCTTCTGTTACCTCTCACGACACACACTATTATAATGCAATTCAAGAATCACACACAAATAAATAACTGTAATAACTTTAATATGATCATTATGTTACACTCTTATATTTTAGTTAAAAAAACATTTTTTATTAAGAATTGAAACCATTTGCTTTTAAACATACAGAATTACATTTTTTTCTTTCGAGTTCATAGTACGTATAATCATTAATAATACGGATATAGTCATGTAAAATTAGTTGTTGCTGTACATTGTTGTTTGTATATTAAGGAACTAGAAATTTCACTATTGTTATCTAAAGGGTTTACTGTGTAGTGGCGGTGTAAGAATACCCACTACCCCATATCGTACCGTGGGTGTCGTAATAGGCGACAGAGGAAAATTAAAGCAGATATCCGGTAGCAGCATCTTCTTGATAACAATTCAAATTAATAAAAAACGGCTGCTTCCAACCCACCTGCTAAGCGTTGCAATTATAGCAAGATCCTTGATCCGTATGAGGTAGTCAATGGTTATGTTCAATAATGGATTTTTATAGGCTCTAATGGAATGTATTTAAAAAGTAGAATAATAAAATGTTACACAATGGCATCGCTACTAAGATAATTAAGCGTCCCAAATCTCACCATGCGAGTGCATGTGCGTGTGCGTGTGTGTACATGCGCCCGTGTGCGTGTGATTGCGCGGGTGTGGGTGTGGGTGCGTGTGCGTGCGTGTGCGTACGTGTGCGTGCACGTGCGTGCATGTGCATGCGTGTGTGCGCGTGCGTACGTGTGTGTGTGTGTGCGTACTGTGTGTGTGTGTGTGTGTGTGTGTGTGTGTGTGTGTGTGTGTGTGTGTGTGTGTGTGTGTGTGTGTGTAATGAAAAATTTTTTGGTTTCTTTTATTGGGGTCGTATAGTTTCTAATTAGATAACCTACTAAATTTAATATGTCTAAAAATGTTATATGCTTTTGAACTTACTGACAAGTGTCGACATATTATGTACGCCCCTATTTGATCACTGACACGGACGCATCAAAGCATGCCGCTGAGCGGTGCGTGCTTCCCCAAGGTTTTTGTGTAAATCATTATACATACCTATCTAGACACTATTGACACACTACAATTTAAAAATAATAGACATTATAATGAAAATTGTTTTTAATAATTTGCTGACAGTTTATAAATATTCCATTTCCCTTTTGAATACCAAATAATATTTAATATGTTAATATTTATTTTATTTTTTACAATATCTTAGACATATAATTTTACGAAGTCACTCAAGGAGAATGATGCTTAAACCCGCTAAGTAGATGACGACGTGTTGAAGAGATCTAATAGTTTATGAAATTACGTTAATTACAATCTATCAAAGTCAACTTCTGCACATCACTGAACATAACGGCTTCCGCGCAGATAATCACATACGATTTTAATATTTGCCACACTTTCCTTTTTTGGCAGGCAGGTTGGCAACCGTAGTTTTTTTTACTTTGGATCTAGTTGTTGGTAAGAAGATGCTGCAAATATAGTGCCAAACCCACGAGACGATTTGGGTTACCGGATATTAAAGATGTTAGAAGTTTAGAAGTTATTTACCAACCATTCGTTTAATAAAATAAAATGATGTGCATCACCTAGTTTGAATGCATCTGTATTTTTTTACATAGAAAAACCACGAGCATAGCAATTTACAGAGTTTGCCGAGTTAGCTGAACCTTATACGAGAAGTAATGTAAAATTATAAAGATTTTATAAAATATAACAATATGTATATAAATATAAATAAATTATAAAAGTTTCTTCTTTTTATGCGTAGAAGTCCGTCTGGGTAAGACTTCATTCTTTACTATTTCAGTACAATTACTGGTTATGAGGCATTCAACTTAGCCAGAGCTATTTATGTATGAATTTTATTTCAGGTGTCCAAAAGATGTAGTAACCACTTACCATCGGGTGTCATTCATCACTTTAGTTTCTTAAAAAATAAAAGAAACTATTTTAAATGAAAAAAAAAACACTCACGATAAGGTGCATAGTACATACAAACCACAATTCTCCTAACGCTGTCTAATGGAATTGTAGCCTTTGGTTATAACTAACACTATGAGGCTAATATATTACATTAATTAAGACTGTTTGCAGGCCAAGAGATATATTTCATAGAGATTAGGTCCCATAAACTAACAGCCTGGATCCTGAAGCTATTACTATCTACTAACGAGACGCTTTAAATAAAATAAAATGTATGTGTGTGTTGAGTGTTATTATAGTGCAGAATATTTTAATACCAATAAAATTACTTTTTAATACTAGCTGATCAGGCAAACGTAAAAACGTTGCTCTTTTTGGTGAGTAACTTGTTAGGCGCGATGGGTTTAACTTTGAATCCACTCCGGGACATCTACAATGTACAAATATAAAAATTCTCTGTCATTGTACACTACCTACTGCTTCCAGATTTTGTTCTTTTTGCCATTTAACCGAAATTATTTGAGATTTTGGTCCATAAATATAGAATTTATTAATAAATTGACTACAGAAATACCCATCAATAACGTGACTACAGTGTACTTCCGTACTTCCCTACACAGTAATGACGTAGAGTATAATCAACAGCGAAACCGGTCTAGGCAAACCTCGTAAGCCACACTATCAATCAAAACTAACAATAAAATGACTAGATTAAATCACGAGATAACGGCGGTTTTTTTTAAAAATATCACTGATATTCCTATCTTGACTACAGAACCATTGAATAATTCTTCTACTGTCGCCGAGTCACTAAAAGTAAAAAGAAGTGTGAAGTGAAGTTACAGAATATATACGTCGCACTGCAGGGAACATGCCTCCCCTCATTTCTGAGAGGGTTTTTAGGGTAAGGAAGTGTCCGCCGCGCTGCCCCAATGCGTATTGGCGAACTTCGCATGTCTTAGAAATTTTTTTCTTATTATTCAGTCATGCAGGTTTCCTCACGATGTTTACCTTCACCGCCGAGTACGTGGTAAATCCCGAGTCAGTACTTAAACATAATGTATAAAATAAGTATTCGTCAGTTGGGTCTCGTGGATACCTCTCTCTTGGAATTACTATTGACACGAAAGCCAATGGGGGCCCCATAAATCTAAATTTGCTGAATACATAGTTAAGCAACATATGCTGTGAGAAAAATAAGAAGTCTCACCAATGTAGAAATCGTTAGATTAGGTTACTTTAGTTACTTTCATAGCGTAATGTATAGAATTTTGCTATGGGGCAACGCGTTTAACATTTAAACTATTCACTGATCAAATTTTGCAAAAGTGTGCCCTACGGGCAATTTATAAATTAAATTACAACTTGTCCCTCAGAAAAAACTTTAAAGCAATATAAATATTAACGTAAGTAATTAGCCCTGTTTCTTATGGTGAGCGTAGAAGAACCGGAGACCTCTTTTTACTGGAAAAAAGGCATTCTACCTTAATTCTCAGGGGTGACAACGCATGTTTATTTTAATCTTTAATCGAGGATTAATGTAAATCTTCATGGACCACAGCAATTACTCATCAGGTAACGTTAACGTGACAAAGACCGAGAGAGTAAGTTTACGTAGTTTGAGCAAGACAAGATAGTGACGCTACTTTTTCGCTGTCGAACACAAAATTAAGTTCAGTACGTAACGCTCCTTCGTTTCACTGCGCATCCTTCTGTATTCGTTCGTGTTGATTTCGTTCATGATATTATTCGTTAGTTGGTCTCTTTACAGGAGTATCTCGTTGGTAAGCGCATAATGTCCTCTAGACCGAATTTCGGCCACGACGGCCTGCCTCGATGGAGGATAGGATTATAGTGCCCAAGTATATGCGCAAGCACAGGTCCACTTTCTATTCCCTCAATCTTATAATCCGATGGGACGGTAAACCGACACGACTGGAGAGAGATCAGGCGCAGGACCAACGGCTTTACGTGCTTTCCGAGGCACGGGGGTGAGACACCGCCAATATCCTGACTCCGGGCAACTACTAAGAATTTCTTGACGGAAAAACTCTATAATTAATTTTTGGCCCAACCCGGGATTCGAACCCAGGACCTCATGATCAACAATCGCACTACACTAGACTATACAACCACTTGACCAACGAGGCAGTTAGAGTAGAGGAGCATAACATAATTTATGTCAGCTATAACAATAAGAATCTGCAGGTTACTCAATCGTTTTTACGCGTTAGGTTATTTTATAGTAAGGAACATACATTATATATTTATTGTTGTCCTTGTTACCCTTTTCACATTACCACATTAAGACGGATATTTTTGTGAAATATCTTCGATTATATTAGGATATAGTTAAACTTAG